TGTGACCAGGGAGGGCCCTGAAGACAATATTCTTAAGTGTCAGTTGTACTTGAGCCATTTGTACCTATGCGTTGGCCACCCTCTACACAGCCCCTACCCTTCCCAAACCATGGCTGAAGATGACCTGCTTGATGCTGGGGCACAATTAACAAAGGTCTGCTATGTGTGACTTGCACAGGCAAAATAAACTCCATCTGCCCGTCCAGTCCTTTTGATATTGAGTATTTGATTGCTTATCACTTAAAACACTTTTTGTTGTTCCTCTGGTTGCACTTTAGACATCCTTCTTTTGACCTCCCTTGATTATTTGCTCCATTTTAGCTTTTTATACACAGTAATATTTTTGTCATTGTTATCTCAACAGGTCATGGGCAATACAATAGAGAATATACCATTTTTATCTTTGTAGCTCCACAGACCACTTTGTACTTTTATACATAGGATAGTGACACATCACATAGTGAATAATTTTTGAATGGATAGAGAAGTTTCTTCATGCTTAATTCTTCACTACTAAATGAAAATTCTGTATGAGATTTAAAAATTAACATTTTGTATATAATGCAGATTTGATAATATTGATAAATTGTTGCAAGTAAATACTTTTTAAAAACTGATGGGGATGCTAACCTGAAGTCTTATTCAACTATATTTATTAAATAGCTTTGGTCTATTTTACTGACAAGAAAGAGGCCTAAATGATCAAATTATCTGATCTAAGCCCCTGAAATGCAGCCTCTAATTAATTTGAAGTGTTATCTTTTAATGAATTATGAATGTATCATGCCATTAGTGGACAAATTAGTGTCAGAGTCACAGAGCTAAACCAGAGATTTCTTGTCCACGTTCTGAATGGTTTTGCATGGTTCTTTTGGATACTGATTTATGTATTTGATAATTTTTCAAATAGCCGAATGGTGCGTTAGGACCTGTCGTACAGGTGTAGAGTGCATTTTCACTATCAATTCTTATGATTGAGAGCAAATGTTACATGCCTGGAAGGTTGCCTATAGGGAATCTTTGTTTCATTTAATCGCACATCCAATAGCATACTTTGTTGCAGAGAACTAGTCTTAGAAAATTCTACGGGGATTTATAACCACTTCTATTTGCAAGCTCAGCAAATCCCTGCTGACTTCACAAGGGATGCTACTTCACCAGTGCTGTATGCCCAGGACAAGACTGCACTTGGCTTTCATTTGTTTCTGCTCTTTTGGGTGAGCGATAGATGGGCAGTATAATACGAAGTAATCTAGTTATTTATCTTCTTTTCCATCCTCTCACTTATTCTTTGATGAATAGTACCTGGCTTCTAGCCCCACTGCCAACTTGACGTGTTAGGGAATTACTGGATGGTTAAATGCAGCACCCTTATATAATACTTACCTGATTAAACCTCCATGCAGCTTTACAAGTGGCCAATCATTTCTGTCTTCATAGCAGCTTTTAGTTCTTCTTATTGGACAATACTTCCCCAAGTGATTCATCTCTGCTTATGTTTTTAGTCTATGACCAACATGCCCTGACCCTAATCCTGCATGAGGTTCACTGCTGAGTGTCCATCCCCCTGCTGGACACATACCCGAACTCACTACATCATTTGAAATCTGCCTTTCCTGTGTAGTTTCTATTTTAAAGGCACAGCTAATTTAGAGACCTTAGAGGGATCTTTAACTCTTCCCACAGCTCCCATCCAGATCCACACTGAGTCCTACCTGTTTTACTTAGCGATGTCTCAAGGTGCCCCACTCCCCTGTTTTCTACCGTGGTTCTTCTTCAGTTCATTACCATTTCTTTCCTCATGACAACTAGAACAGAATGGTTCACTGATGTAAATAATAACAATGAGGACCTACTCTGTGTCAGTGTTCTCTGCTAAGTCTGGAGTCTTACAGTTTATACTGTGTGTGCTAATTATTCTGACAAAAATATCCCTCATCTTTACATGGTGGTATTACATCATCCAGAAAACTTTCTCCTATATGTTACCTCTTCTAGTACAGGGGTGGTGATTCTCACTTAACTCATTATTCCCTGGTCTCCTCTTCTCCTCTGCAGGCTGGGCTGGGCACGCCACCCCAATTCTCTCAGAAATGCTAGAATCTATCTCTGTAGCTATATGTTCCTAATAACCGGTTTTATGTTTATTAGTTCATGTTAAAGCTGGATTGAGAGATTTTTCAGGCAAAGAATGTCTTTGGTATCTTTTTGTGTCTAAATGTACATATACATAGGAAATGAGTAGATGAATGGTTAATGACAACAAAACCCCACATCTGAATGCTTTGTAATGAAACGATACAAAACGAATTTGCCCCTAATATATTATGGGTAGGGATAAATACTGGAATTTAGCAACACATCAGCTGTTCTTAGATATTGTTTGAAACATAGCATAAGAAAGTAATGGTAATTTTATTTAGCAGTTTATTTGATAAGTTCCCCCACACCGTCGCTGAATTATTGGTAAGTGTATGGATGGACTGCATTTCAAATCAAGTAAGTTTATGTTGACAGTGAGGTACAGCCTTGTTAACCCTGAACAGTCATTCCAATTATAAACTCCATGTACGTAATCACTGTCACATGAAATATTCGGACTAATTACCTCTAGCCCTTTTGTTATGCAAGTATTATAAATGAAACTTTATGTATGTTCCATGTCAACAAAGAATATTGCTTTAAAAAAAAACAGCAGTAGGGTTTTTATTCCATTTTTAAACTTACTACAATAAGCGAATTAGTGTTGTACTTTTAAAATGATATGGGGACCCACAGCTTTGTAGGATTTCCCACATACCAACACAGTTGTAAAAAGATCTTGATTAAGGCCATAAATACAACATACAAATCAGAGCATTGTTCTCTGTACTCTTGCTGCCGCCTGAGGGAGAAAAAGCATATCCACTGTTCCATGACTGGAATGAAAGGCACACTGAGTTTCAGGTCAAATATCCATGACATTGACATGTATGACTGCTCTACTGAGTAGGATACATGTTAATATCTTCCCTGTGGTGGGCACGAGTGACATGCCTCAGTGATCAACACAGCACACACAGCCCCTTTAGGGTTTCTACAGGTGTAAAATGGATACATCTTTTAAATCCTGTAGAATGTGAATCTTCTGTGTGCAGTTAAACTTTAAGATTGCTTGGGTGAATTGTCGCAATCTGTACAATTCTGTAAGGACATCACCAATACTATTTGCTTTCTCAGTGGCATATTTTGGGTACCATTGTTTTGTTAATTGTTCACATTGTGGAACCAACAAGAAATAAAAGCATTATGGCTAATCCAGCACTGCAGAGCAGTACTGCTCTGCCTGTGTTGTGAGTTTTGCAATAGTGGTACATCTGGAACATAATCGGGTCACTCCTCTAGTAGTTCCGTGATAGTAAAACCATATATACTCTGCCAGCCACTTTATTCCTCTGCCAAGAGCAGTGCTGGATTCAAAATTCAGTGAATGAATAAATCCTTGAGTGTATCATGGTGTGTGGAAACAGCATGTCTTTGAAGGCATATAGAAATTGTATTTATTTACTTATTAGCTAAGGCACATTGAAATTATTCAAACTCTTAAAGCTTGGATTTTCTTCTCTGTAGGATGTGAATCATAATTTATAACTCAATTAGAAGAGATATTTTATATAGGTGTCAGGATTATACATGTTATCTGGTGTTATTAAGCCATTTTGTGTTTTTAGTTCTAGTGTACGTTAGTCCTCAGCTACATAGTTGTTCACTTGTCTATTTTAGCATCAATCTTTTATGACATGAGACTTAGTGTGGTTGAATGATTATTGGTTTTTACTAACAAATGACAAAATTTTTTCAGAAATCTTCATAACAAGGCAGCTCTTTCAGTTAATTAAAAGAAAAACCTGCATCAAACTGAAAATCTACACAGCAAAGGGAATACCAACAAAATGAAAAGGCAACCTGTAAAATGGGAGAAAATGTTTCCCAACTTTATATTGGATAAGGAGTTAATTTCCAAAATATAGAGAGAATTCATAAAACTTCATAACAAAATATCAAACCAATTAAGAAATGGCAAAGCACATGAATAGACATTTTTCTAAAGAAGACATAATCATTATTACTGGTATATAAAGATATCCAGCATCACAAATTATTAGAAAAGTGCAAATCAAAACCTTAATGAGACCTTGCCTCAGACATGCTAGAATGCCTGTCAAAAAAGACAAGAGATGACAAGCATGTGAAGCAAAAAGGGAAGGAATGTGGATTGGTATAAACATTATGCAAAAAAGTATGGCAATTCCTCAAAAATTTAAAAATAGAATTACTATATAACCCCTCAATCCCACTTCTGGGGATAAGTCCAGGTGATTTACCCAAATAATTTATACCCAGAAATCAGAATCCAAAAGAGGCATCTGTGCTCCAGTCTCATTACAGCAGTATTCAAGCATTACATAAGACATCTATTAATGGAATATTGTTCACTCATAAAAAGGACATATTGCCATTCGTGACAACATAGATGAACCTGAAGGACAATATGTTAATGAGATAAGCCACATACAGGAAGACAGATGCTACATGATCTAACTTCCGTGTGGGACTTAAAGAGTTGAATTCTTGGAACGAGAGTAGAAAGGTGGTTTCCAGGAACTGGGGGGAAATGCAAAGGTATTTGTAAAAGTTAACAAGCTTTCAGTTCTAAGATGAATAAATTCTGGGGAACTTCAGATTAGTGACTATAGTTAATAATACTGTATTACATATTTGAAATTCACTAAGAGTAGATCTTGAGTGTTCTCGCCACATACAAACACACACAGACAAGGAAGATTATGTGAAGTAATGAATGTAAATTAACTTGGTTATGGTAATCAATCATTTTATAACGTATACATAAATCAGATAATCATATTGCATGCTTGACCAAAATCATGTTTTACATCTTAAATATATAAACTTTTTATTTCTTAACTTTTGCCTTTTGTAAAGGTTTTCTCTTAGAGCCCCTGGTAGTATAGCTCTACTGAATTTTGAACTTCTAGTCTCCAAAAGTGTTGGAAGGTACATTGTTGTTGTTTTAAAGATTTATTTATTTATTTATTTGCTTATTTATTATGCATACAGAAATGGGGTCCAGGCCAGGGGTGCAGGGGTGGTGAGAGGATTCACCAGAGACAGAGTGGGGAGCAGAACAGGCAGATTGAATAAGTACACTGCTGAGGGGAGCAGCAGTAGGTCAGCAAAAGTCTGCCACGTCATATGGATCACCTCCTGGGCTGGCGATTGAACTCGAACTTGCACAGAAGCGGCTGTGGAGAGCTTGCATTGCTGAGTCCTTACCTGTTGTGCCACCAGGGAGGGCCCTGTTGTTTTAAGGCTGATAAAACACCTTTACTTACAGGATTTACCTACCATCCATATACTCATTTTCCTCACATTGTGATTTTTTTTTATCTCCTTCCAGCAATTCCCACTTGAAATGAGACTTGATGATGCTACTTGCATTGGCCAGTGTGAGTTTAACAAAGATGACACAAGTAGCTGCCTAAAAACAATTGTGTGTTAAGTCTTTTAGCCATATTGGAACCATGATATAAACCATCCCACATGAGGTTCCTGCAGAAGTCGAGTGGAGGAGATTTAAAAGGCCCTCACTGTTACAAAGGCCATCGTAGACATTCCAGCCTCCATCAGTTTGTCAGCTGAATAGGACTACATGAGCTATTCCTGGGTTGACCAGAAGAACTCCTGCAATGAGTTTGCCTAAATTACTGCCCACAGTCATAATCCAATAAAATGGTTATTGGTTTAAGCCAGTTTAAGTATTGGGTTATCCCCACCAATGATTAACTTAAAGTTCTCTTAAACCCATTATTTCAGCCAAAGTAAACTAACTGCTATAACAAACACTACTAAGTTCTCGGTGAATTTACAGAATAAAGATTTATTTCTTACTAATGAAAAACCCATTGAGGATGTTACTGGTCAGCTCAGCTTCAAGTAATGATCCAGGAATCCATCTCCTTTCATCATTTGGTATCACTATTTTTGATGGCATAGACTTCTCAGTTCACCAAAACATATTTAACCACCTCATGCTGGAGGTGACTTCCTTCAGCCATTGCCTCACCTAGATGTGCTTGGGAAGTGTATCCAATCCTGTAATTTCCTCTCTGATGACTCTTAGGTGAAGACTCCTCTTAAATAAGGATGTCTCCTTTCTGCCAGTATTGACCTGAAAGAACAGTCATGTTTTGTAGTTTCTGTTACGACACTCAATCCAAATCCTTCTATATAATACAGCTGCCTCAAAAAACCACTTATAATGTCTTATACAATATTTAAGGTACCTTCAGAAACCCTATATCAATTAATTCTCTGAATATTTTAAGATAGTAAATTTATAATTGTCTCTATTTTTACAAATGTGGGAGCTGAGAATCAAAGATTTGTCCAAAGTTATTACCCAGGAATGGCAGAATTGGGACTGAAA